TATTTCCAGCACTGGAAATAAGACATAAGTATATAAATAAAAACTATATGTAATCTTTAATAAATTGAAGAACATTTGTTTCTTTATTAAACAATCATTATTAATACGTTGTTACTATATACAAAAAATGTCGTTTTTTTTTAAAAAAAAAAATTATAAAAGAGCGATGTTTCAAAAATATTTTGAAACTCTAATCGTATTTATTTTGCTTGAAGTTTTGCGTTAAAAGCTATTTTTTTTTTTTTTAACTGTCTCTCATCGGTCCAGTTTATCTTATTGCGCTTTTTTGCTTGTTTTTGAAATGTTCTCAAAACGCCTAAAAAATCTGGCCGGCTTTTCGCAACTAAATATAATTTCCGTGGTCAAATATCGAGTGCGATCGCACCCGCTTCCCGACCAAGCCTGCCCACAGGGCTAGTTTACACCTTGATATATACATATATATATACAAATATATATGTATATATGCAATTATGTGAATATATAAACATATATATGTACATATATACATATATGCAATCATATGTATGTATATGTATGCAAGTCAGGCTACAAAATAGTCAATGTAGCCACACTCCACGCAAGTTTTACAGTAAAATAAAAAAAATAAAAAAACATTCAGAATGGTTTTAAAAGCATTGTAGTTTTTAAATTTGTGCTTTTGTGGTTTTTTAATTCTTATTAGTTTCCACTAATGGATTTTGTCATTATCTAACTTTAATTTTCTCAGTTTAATTACCACAGACAATCAAAGAGCTATTTTTTATTGCAAACTGTATATCTAAGCCCATTACTATAGCAGGCTTGGGAAGGAATGGCATGCGATCGAGCGCTATTGTTGACCACGCAAATGGTTTTATTTTTTGACAACTTGACCACGATTGTTTATATGTTTTGATGATTTAAACATTTCAGAAATGCGCTGAATGTAAAAACGCTAAGCTTAAATTGAACTAGAAAAAAAACTATCGAAAAAAAAAACAATCGAAAAAAAAAATTCTAACAAAAAAAGAAAAGAAAAAAAATTATTACAGAAAAGAATTTATATAAGCGCTAAATAAAAAAAAATTGAAGCGAAACATTTTGTTACGTATTTAATTGATATGTTATTAAAACTTATTTTTTTAAACGTTTTATTAATGTTATGCAAAACGCTTAAATTAAGTAATAAATAACTGCTAATGATTGTTTAATAAATGATCAAATTTTATCAAACTTATTAAAAAATTTTGTATATGTTGTACGTAATTTTTATTAATTTTAAGCTTTAATTAGTAAGTTTGGTTAAAAAAAGGTTTAAACTTTTTTTATAGGGGAAAAAAATAAATAACAAAATACGCCTGCGATTTAAATAAAATAAACAGCCAACAAGCAATTTAAATTGAGCATTACTACTTTATTAATAAGCACTTCACGTAACGAATTTAAAAATTATTATAAAAAATTTAAACTTATTTATTCCTATTGTAATTAAAAAAAAAAAACTTTCAAAAAATATAAATTTTTTTTAAAAGATTTTTATTAATACTTTTTATTAATATTAAATTTTTTGTATAACATTTTTTATTAATTAATACATGCGTTTATGTAAACAATCATTATAATTAATTTTATGGTTTTATTTAAAAGCCTTGCGTAAAATAAAAACTTTAGAAAAGATCAACGAACAAAAGTTATTCATAAGGTAACACTTTCTTTTATTGCATTTAAATTGTTAAAAAATCAAAATTGCCGTGGTCAAAGTGTAATGAAAAAGCAATATTAGCGTGGTCAGTTAAAAAGTGTGATCGCACGCCATTCCTGTCCAAGCCTGCTATAGGGGTGTGTGTGTGTGCGTGTGTCTATATATATATATATATATATATATATATATATATATATATATATATATATATATATATATATATATATATATATATATATATATATATATATATATATATATATATAAATGCACAATTTGGAAAACCCAACTAAATTGCAGACTATTCAATTGGGAGAACTTGTGGGAATTTATCTTTTGTTTCAAATTGCACAATTCTACAAGAAAAATGATTCGGGATTATACTGCAATGACAGTTAAGTTATTTAAAAAAAAACAAGTGGTACCTAAATGGAAAAAATCAAAAAACATTTTGTCGAAATATAAACAAAAAAAAAAAAACTCACTATATCATTACAGTGCAACATGAAAGTTATAAATTACTTTGAGGTCACATTAAATCTCAATGACCATACTTTTCAACCATATTCTAAGCCCGGAAATTCTTCAAATTATATTCATGCTGATTCAAACCACCCGCCTAATATTTTAAAGCAGTTTCCGCATTCAATTGAGTTGAAATCTGCAAATTCATCAAATAAAGAAATTTTCCAAAAATCTAATCCTATGTACAATGACACGCTATTAAGATCCGGTTTTAATCACAAACTTTCTTATCACCCTAATTTAAATTTACCTCATACAAAAAACCGTAATCATAATATCACATGGTTCAACCCTCTTTTCAGCAAGAATGTTAGCACTAATGTAGGAAAAAGCTTTTTAACCTTAGTCAGCCAGCACGGCCAAATAAATCACAGACTCCACAAATTTCAACAGAAACACAATAAAAATAAGTTATAGCTGTATGCCGAACATGAAATCTTTATTAAATGCACACAATCAACAAATTATTAACAACAAAAAAATTCCACCTAAAACCAATTGCAACTTCCTAAATAAAAAATACCTGCTCTTTATCAAACCAATGCTTAACAAAAAACATTGTATACCAAGCCAATATAAGTTCTAATAATCCTACTAACACTCCTGTCAATAAATTCTACATCAATATAAATGAAACACCATTCAAAATTAGATATACCAACCATATAAAATCATTGAACATTCTAAAATACAAAAAAAAAACCGAATTATCAAAAGAAGATTAGAAATTAAAAAATGCGAATTTAAACCCAATTGTTAAATGGAAAATAATTAAGCAGTGCAATGCTTACAGCCCAACCATTAGGTCCTGCTAACTATGCACAAATCAAAAATATGAAATTCTATTTTCCAAAAATAAAAATCTGCTAAACAAAAAAAGTGAAATGGTATCCAAGTGCAAGCATAGAATCAAGTTTCTTCTTGCCCTATTCCACACAGGTGATTGAGCAATTTTCTAACTGAAAAATTGTTTGTAATATAATCAAATAATGAAACTCTTTATATATATATATATATATATATATATATATATATATATATATATATATATATATATATATATATATATATATATATATATATATATATATATATATATATATATATATATATATATATATATATATATATATATATATATATATATATATATATATATATATATATATATATATATATATATATATATATATATATATATATATATATATATATTTATAAATTAAAAAAATCCACAATGCTAGGTCAATAAGACTTGACTTTTTAAAAATTAATGTTAAATAAAAAAAGTTGAAGATAATTTATATTTCATGCTAATTATGAAAAACATGCAAATATATATATATATATATATATATATATATATATATATATATATATATATATATATATATATATATATATATATATATATATATATATATATAACTGCATGTTTTTCATAATTAGCATGAAATATTAATTATCTTTAACTTTTTTTATTTAACTTCAAGTTTTATTGACCTAGCATTGTGGGGATCATTAGGCTAGCATTATGTAGTGGAATACATAAAGGATAAAAATAATTGAGCCAAACATTTACAAGTAAAAGAATTTAGCAGTGAAAACAAAACAGTGATGTAGGAATTCATAAAAATCTAATCAAATCGGAAACAATGCTAGTTATTACTTAAACTGACATGCTGAGATCATGTGAGATCAAAAAAGTATATCTTAAAAATTTATCCAAAACTATAAAAACTTTATTCAAAAATATTTTAACCATATTTTGCTAACTCCTATAAGCAAAAATTAAGTGTCTGGTTAAATTTTACAACTACTTTAAAAGCAGAATTTAAAATAAAGCCTTGATTCTAAGGAACCTTTACCTATAAGCAACAAGTTTAATTGTTAACATGTACAATCTTTAAAACATGCTTTTAATTTAGGCAATACATTTAGACTTATTATAAATTGGTATAAAATTGTATCAATATAACACAAATGATACAATATGGATGTTGTTGTGTGTCATTAATAATTAGCGTGCTAATTATTGACAAAAGTCACAAGTTGTGATTTTCTATTATTATAACGTTTTTTTATTAATTGTCGACAAGAGTCACAAGTTGTATTATATGCTATATAAAGCGAACAATTTTTTTGTAAATGGCAACTTTGTATATAAGTAAAAGAAAACGTCAACAACAACAAAAAAATGGCTTTTAAATGTGTTGAACAGATGTGTCAAAAAAATTTGAACAAAAAAATTTTGAAAAAAAATTAGTTTAGTCATAAATTTTAATAAAATGTAGACCACAGGGGAAAAAGGGCACATGTTACATTTTTTAATTATTTGAGTTATGTCCCTACTATATAAGCATAAGCCTGAAGGTTAGAAAAATAGTAAAAGCCAATCCAAAAAAGGTCTATGTAATGCTACAGAACCACAAAGGAAAGGCATTAAGGTGAAACTTTCAGACTTCTAAAAACATCTTAAAAGTGGAAATGTGTGATATGTGCCTTTTTTCCTCTGTAGTCTTCATATATTAGGCTTTAAGTCTACTTAACTATAAAATAACACTAAATCAACAAATTTTGGGCCTAATTAGCTGAAAAGTTATAATTTTTCAATATTGAATTAGCCCCTGCTGGAAACCTAGCTAAAATGAGAAAATATTATAAATATTTATTATATGGTACAAAATTGTTTCAAGTTTAGCATTTATATATTTATGATTTTTACATGTTACATAATTTGGATGACTAAGTAATCTAAACTATAAATAAAATCGAATTTCAATTAACTAACCTGAATATACATCTGGCCCGGAGTAAATGGTTGTGCAGTAGCATACTGAGTCATGTGTGTGGATGGTACTGAAAACGAGTGTATCTGTTGAGGTTGACTATTTTGATTATACATGTGCTGAACTGTCCCTTGTATATTATTTTGATTGATGACTTGTTGATAACCATATATCTAAAATAATGTAAAAATGAATTAAAACAAATCAATAAAACACTAAATAATATTGAAGTAAATATGAGATTGACAAAATAAACTTTCAATTGTCATGAGAAAATTCAAGATGACTTAAAAAAAATAAACTGTTTTTAAAAGGAAAACTGAGATAATTAATTTAAATAAATTATGGAAATGATCCGATTCAAAGTTTAATGTTCTAAAAAAAATTGAGTAAAAAAATAAAAATAAACTAATCATCTATAACATTGCTATTAGTTCTAACTTGATACTATAATACAAGGTCTAGCTACTCATTGTAGAATTGTTGAATAAAGTCTCCTTAATCAAAAAAAATATATATCAAAATTAAAAAAAAACATTTAAATTGACTTTAAATTAGCAATATTTGTGTATTTTTGTATAGCTAACAAAAAGTTTATGCTACTACAGGGCTTGCAATAATAAAAACTGCCCAACATGTTATTTTGCGCTCGTAAAAATTGCAGTAAGTTGTCATCAAGTGCGAGAGAAATTATTTGGCAAGACATTCTTCTATAAAAAAGAAAAATTTTTTAATACTTACTTAAATAGAGTTAACTAAAAAATTAAACTAGATTTTTAGGTGAAATATTGAAAATAATCAAAGCAAATTCTCTTTTAGACAAGGTATAAAAATGCATTGTAAACATAGTTGGACCTTCTCTTGCAGCTAACCTAAAGAGCTAGCATTTCTTGTGACATCTACTAAATTTCATTCTCGCCTTACTTAGCATTCAAAGTCTTATACTTTTATTGTGATTATTTCTTAGTGCTTCAAAAACTCTTATTCATCTAGTTTTTTTCCTCAAACATCAGTTCTTTGCAATTTGTTTCCTTCATCAATCTTGCTTACTTGATTTATAAAATTTGCAATCTTTTAAGTTGTCTGAAAATCGATACTTTCCTCTATTAACTTTTCTCTTCTAGTAACTTTTAACTCTAATAGTGATTGCTTGTTAAAAGCGAAAATGTTAAAAAAAAGAAGCTCTTTATACTTTCTAATTTTATCTGTTGTTAGCATCTTATCACAATTTTTTTTAACTATTTATAGTAAAACAAAAGTGTAACCAAACAAAAAGGCAATTATTTTTATTGATTTAGTATTAAAGAATAAATCGATTTAGTATTAAGTATTATATAAAAAAAACTTAATTTGTTTTTTTAGATGTTTATTATACTTTATAATATTATACTATTAACTTGATTAAGAAACGGTTAATGGTTTTTGTATTTCTTAATATTTTTGTAATTATTAAAACAAATTTATTTAAAATAAGTTTGTTTGATTCATGATTTTCTCTCTCGTTAAAATCAACATTAAAAAATTAAGAGATTTATTTATAATTGCAAATATTTAAATCTAAATAAAAATTTATTGATCAACGCAAGAAACTTAACTAAAATTTGTTCACAACTAACATAATTTTAACAACTTGTTTTCAACACAACTGCGGTATATTATACATAATATAATAATCTTTTGTTTATTTTATTAAAAAAAAAAACAGTTTTTTGTTGTTGCTGTTACACTTAAAAAATGAACTATAATAAAAAAACTTGTGTTCATAAATAAAAAAATTTTAAATCTGTTTCAGATTTTTAAAAGTTTAAGACTTTAAATTTCAAAACTCTAAGACTTTATGAAAAAGATTCAATTCTATTAGTAAAAAAAAATGGGTCATCATATTGATGTCTAATAACATCTGTGCAAAAATTAAATAAATATCACAGATGTCATTACATCTTTTATATTATCAAAGTGTCATAACATCTGCATGTATTAGATAGCTCTTAGGTCAACATGGGATTTATGTTTTCTATATAAAGAAAATATTTGCCACAAAAAAAGAAACAAAAAAAAAACTGTTATCTTTTTGGAAAACAAAACTACACTTTTCAGACAGTAAAAAGGTATTAATAAAGTAATTTACAAAAAAACTTCAAAGCTCTGCGATGAATAAAAAACTATTTACCAAGTTAATATTTAAATTTAGTTTTTATTTGGATTCATATGAAATAATAATTTAAAAATAAACTAACTTACTAGTCATCTCAATAAAATTTGGTTTCTACTATACAGCTGTTTTGTATTAAATTACATACTCATGTCTTTAATTGGATATATAACTTTATTAATTACATTTAGTTATGTTATTTATGCGATAAGTGGTAAATTCTTACAAGTGGATGGCCTTAGCTTGATAAACTGTTATACTGTTAAACGATTACTGAAACAAAAGAAGAATTTGTATTGAGGATGAGATTTGGAAAGATTGAATTGAAGCAAAAGGGCTTTAGATAAACATGAATAAGTAAAAATTTATGCATTGTGAATACAAGAATGAGCACAAAATACTAGGAAGTAGTCATGTGGAGTGTTTAGGAAAAGAGTTAGAGCTAACTATAGTTAGTACAGGTTGCATACAATGGTTTCATAAGAGATGAAGATATTAAAGAGATGTTCTCTAAAGATTGTCGGTTTTGAGTGAAGGAAATGTACTTTTAGTGAGTATAAAGTAGTTAAATAGATTAATATAAAAAGTGGAGATAAGATAGAATGTATTAGTAAATTTTGTTATCTTGTAGATACAATTAGATCAGCTGGTAGAGCAGAAAAAGCATCTAGGGCAGGAATAAGGTCTGCTTGGGCCAAGTTCCCAATTATCTCTACTTTTAAAAGCAAGAGAAACTTCCTTAATGATTAAAAGAAAGTTATACAGCACCTATGACCAGAGTGTTATGATGTATGGCAGTGAAACATGGGCAATGAAGAATATCCAGCTTTTGGAAACAACAGAAAATATGATGATTAGATGGATATGCAATGTGACTTTAAAAGACAATAACGCGTACAAGGGGGAGGGAGAACTAAACAGAGAGTATGTACGCTGTACATATCTCTCCTAAACATAATTTTTTTTTTTAATATTGAATTTCACGTGTGTAATAAATTTGAATTGTGTTTTTTTCCTCACTTTGGTCAAATTCTTTTTTTTAATATTTCTTTATAAATAATAAGAGAAAAAAAAAATTGAGTAAGTACGTACGTTGAGGGTGGGTGGCGTTTAGGTTCGTACAAGAGTGCAAGATACTCTATATAGATTTAGTATTAACAATGATCAAATAGTATGTGCAAGTATAGACAGTGCAGCCAATATTATAAATATTCAGGTGATGAAAATTTTTGAGATAAAGCTTTGCATGATTAAGAACAAGTGGAATTTTTACAACAGAATACAAATGAAAATGAAAGTGAAGAAGCTCGGGAAGAAGATGTAACTTTTATTAACCCAGTAGGGTGTCAACAATTGACTACTGACATGAAGCTGATGCGCTGTGTTATTCACACTTTGCAGCTAGCTATTTGTATGATTTGTATGAAATCAATGTATGAAAACTTACCATGCCCAACTTTTGGCAAAAGTCTGTTAGGTTGTGAAGAAACTAAGAAACTTAAATACAAAATTTTTAGCAAGGACGCAATACAAGGTTGTTTCAATTTTGAAAAATGAGACACGCTAGGGTTGTACATTCCGGATAATTAAAGCATTATTACTTTTGCGTCTATTGTGTAAGCGATTTACTGCAGTTGATCAGATATTCTTTATACACCCTGAAATATGGGATAAATCAGGCCTTGCGATGAATAAAAACTGCGCAACGCATAAGCACAACGTGATTTTTGACGTCATTAAATTCTTTTTATTTGCTTTTCATATTTATCGACATTAACTGCACTAATTTATTTAATTATCGCAAAACTACTTTAAATCATTAATGTAGAAATGTTATTATTTAAAAATGTTTTGGAATGTTTCGCTTGTTAAAATGTAAAAACATTTGTTTATTTTCTCGACGTTTGACACGTTTTGTCTATACTAAACGAATAAAAAACATAAGTTTTTCAAATAATTATTTTTTCTTTTTAAAAAGTCAGAGAGTAATAAACTGGAAATTTTAATATTGTACGATTAAAAACTGTGCAATAGCTAATATTTTTACTAGCGATTTTATATAATATTTTTTTATTTATTTATTTTTATTTATTTTCATAAAGCGGTTAAGCACAATCACTCATATTATTAAAAAACTATAACGAACGCTTTGAATAGATTTTTAATGTTTACAAGGAATTTTATTTTTGGTAAAGTAAAATAAAATGTTAGAATAAAAATCTTTTAGGTATAAAAGACATATTTCAGCGAAAAAATTATCCTTAAAAATTATTATTAAAAATTATTTGAAAAACTATTGACGTTCTATTTTTCAGCAGCTGTTCCTGAGCACGCTTCGTTGAGTTTCGGTAATTTTTAACAAAAAAGCGATTGTTATTATTTAAGTAATTTTTTTCGAGTTACTTTTTACAAAAATTTTAATAACTGTACTTTTTATTGAATCAAGTAGAATACGTTTTAATATTATTACTTTTATTTTTTTTATTTGCGCTTACCAATTTTCAAAATGTTTCCTCGAAATTACTCTTTAATACTCTAAATTCGTCTAACAGTTAATAAATATTTTTAAATCTGTGGAATGATTTTAAAACCTAACAAACCCCCGTTAAATAATTATTTAAGTTAAAAATCTAAAACTAAAAGAAAGTATTTTTGTTCAATTTTATCGACAACTTTGCTATTGCTGATTAATTTTATGAAAATGCTAGCTTAAAAAGATTTAAACTTTTTTTTAATCTGAATTTTTTCTACTTGTAAATAATGAGCATATTTATTTTTTTTGTAATTCAAACTTTTATATCAACTGCGTGCGGTTTTTAAAATACTTTATTAAATGTTAAAATAATCCTAAATTACTTCATTAAAATTCCGCTCAAAAATATCTTTAAATATAGTCAAACAAAAAATTTTTTGCTCGACGCAAATAGTCCTAGCTACACGCAAAATCGCTCTTGGACGACGTAAAATTCACATCGCCCGATGCTTTATCGCAAGGCTTGAATAAATCCATCATTTTTGCAA